TTTTTTCTTTTCTTTTTAAAAAATATATATATTCAAATATACTTTTATTGATGTCAGAGAGGAAAGGAGAGGGAAAGGGAGAGAGAGAAACATCCATGATGAGAGAGAATCATGGACCGCCTGCCTCCTGCACGCCCCGCACTGGGGATGGAGCCCACAACCCGGGCCTGTGCCCCGACCGGGAATCGAACCCTGACCTCCTGGTTCACAGGTCGATGCTCAGCCCCTGAGCCAGGCCGGCCGGGCGCCGGCTCCTCTGTGTGGCTCTGCTCGGTCCGGGGGAGCAGGAAGCCCGTTTTGTTCCACCTGCTCCGTGGGGACGGATCTCCCCCTGCTCCCCGCCCCGCCCCCCTGTGACAAGCTGCCTTAGCCCCGGGCGTCACACTGACCCCAGCCCCATGTCCGCACCCCCCTGGGTTGTGGGGTGGCTGTGGCGTTTAGGACGCGGGGAGTCACCGACACCCCCTCTGTGTCGGACCCTCCACGGCGACAGGAACGACACAGACAGGGAGGCGAGGACGGGCCGTGGGGCCACGTTAGCCCAGGAGGGTGTGGGCTGCGGGGCGACCGGCCGAGGAGTTCGCCCGGGACCCTGAGGGCCGTGACTCTGCCTCCCCGAACCGCAGTTCCCTCCCCTAAGATTTGGGGCAACAGCAGCACTAGACGGGGTGATTGTGAGAATGGAGCGAGGTGGTGGGTGTGGCCCAGACATTGTCGCTCTCAGAACTTGGGGGTCAGCACCCCATCCGCCCCCAGGCTAACAGGGTCCCCTCCGTGGGTTCCCTGCCGGCCGGCATCACCCACCCTCTGCTCTGACCTGCAGGCGTCTCTCGGGGAACCACCTCTCACACATCCCGGGAGGAGCGTTCTCCGGCCTCCACAGCCTGAAAATCCTGTGAGTACGAGTGACCTTCACACCGAGGCGTGACCTTGGGAACAGAGGCCGCAGTGCGGTTTCGTGCCCGAGTCTCCGTCCGCCGCAGACTCCCCTGTCACTCCCTTATCTGCCTGTTCCATCTTAACCGTCGCTCGCATTCCTGTGCGGTCGCTCTGTCTGTAACACACGCTACGGTTTGTAGACATTACGGCAGCCCTGCAGGAAAGCACACCATCCTTTTTTAAAAAAAAATATATTTTATTGATTTTTTTACAGAGAGGAAGGGAGAGAGATAGAGAGTTAGAAACATCGATCAGCTGCCTCCTGCACACACCCCACTGGGGATGAGCCTGCAACCAAGGTACATGCCCTTGACCGGAATCGAACCTGGGACCTTTCAGTCCGCAGGCCGACGCTCTATCCGCTGAGCCACACCGGTTAGGGCCTCACCATCCTTTTTTAAAAAAATATTTTTACTGATTTCAGAGAGGAAGGGAGAGGGAGAGAGAGAGAGAAACATCCATGATGAGAGAATCATGGACCGGCTGCCTCCTACTGGGGATGGAGCCTGCAACCCGGGCCTGTGCCCTTGACTGGGAATCGAACTGTGACCTCCTGGTTCACAGGTTGACGCTCACCACTGAGCCGCGCCGGCCGGCCGGGCCTTTCAGACCAAATGTCAGCAGCACCGCGAGTTCTTACTCTTGGCCCTCACGGCCAGTCGGCCACGTGTCTCTGCTTCTGCTCCGTCCTCCTCTTTGCTCTGCCTCACCCGCCCGTGACCCCTCCCGGGGGGCCCAGCCCACCACACCCGGACAGCCCCCCTGATGGGCCGGGCCTGGGCTGGGCCAGGACGCCCTCTGGGCTCCTGCAGCTGGGGTGCGAGAGAGGGATCTAGCTTGGGCTGGGGTTCAAGGGAGGGACCCCAGCCCCGCAGGCCTAGGAGTCCTCACGCCCCCCCTCCCCTTGCAGGATGCTGCAGAACAACCAGCTGGGAGGGATCCCGGCCGAGGCGCTGAGGCAGCTGCCGAGCCTGCAGTCTCTGTGAGTCCCGGCCACGCCCCCTGCACCCCGATCCCCCCTCTGTGCCCCGCTTCCCCACCATGTTCAGACAGTGTGCGCTCCGGTCCCCGGTGTCTCCGGGTTTTTGTTGTCGTCAGAGAATGTGTGTGTGTGTGTGTGTGTGTGTGTGTGGACTCGCTTGTGTATCCGGGAGGGGAGGCTCCAGGCCCGGTGGGGACTGTGGGAACGGGACCTCCCTAGGCGGGGCCTCCAGGGTGGCCTCCCGGGGCGCCTGGCGTTCTGCCGGAGCCTGGGGTGCTGGGGGTGCTGGGCGGGGTTGGCCGCCCCCAGGAAGAGCCGTCTCCTCTGCGTAGGCTGCTCTGGCCCCAGGGCTTTGGGGGCGGGGTGGCCCAGACACCCATTTCCTCTGCCTGGGGCGGGGCTGTGTTGAGGACAGACGCATTGGCCACCCAAGACACTGTCACCCTCCAGGGAGCCCTGCAGCTCCTCTCCCGCCCAGCAGGGGCGTCGTGAGTTAGAGTTTGCGTCTTTGAAACATGGCTCTGGTAGCAGCCTGGAGGACAGCCTGGAGGAGGGGGCTGTGAAGGGACGTGAACGGAGGGAGCGTGACAGCGTACGAAGGAGAGGCCGGCGCAGGGGCCGCAGGAGAGGTTGGCAGACTCTGGACAGGTCAGGAGTCCAGGACACGCGGCCTGGGGTCGCTTCACCTACTGCCTGGAGACCCCGGGCAGGTGACCGAACCCCGGCTGCTGCTTCTTTATAGGAAAATGGGCGATGCCTCAGTAGGAGAGCGGGAAGTGAGCTCACGTGCGTACAAGAGGCAGAACAGCACGTTGCTGGCTGCCACTGCAGTTATTCTTGGTGGTATTGGCTGGAGGTGGGCGCTGAGGGAGAGCAGGGGGCGCTGACCTCGGGGTGGACGAGAGGCCGGGCCCCGAGAGCGTGGCCCCGGGAGGGGGTCAGTGAGAACGTGCTGACTGAGGGGTCAGCGGGCAGTGATGCCCAGAGGGTGGGCAGGAGGGGCCCAGGGGAAGGGGGGTGCTGATGGCCCTTCTGCAGGAGCTGAGTTTGAGGTGCCTGTGGGTGGGGTGACCAAGCGTCAGTGACGACCTTAAAAATGGGTCGTCTCCCTCCCTGCAGGGCGTCAGTGTGTGTGTGTGTGTGTGTGTGTATGTGAGTGCATGTAAGCATGTAAGCATGTGAGTGTGTGTATGTGTGAGTGCGTGTGACTGTGTGTATGTGACTGTGTGTATGTGAGTGTGGGTGTGCATGTGGGTGTATATGTGTGAGTGTGTGAGAATGTGTGTGTGTATGTGTGTGCATGTAAGCATGTGAGTGTGCGTGACTGTGTGTATGTGAGTGTGTGTGTGGGTGTGTGTGTGGGTGTATATGTGTGTGAGTGTGTGAGAATGTGTGTGACTGTGTATGTGAGTGCATGTAAGCATGTGAGTGTGTGTGTGTGTGACTGTGTGTAAGTGTGTGTATGTGAGTGTGTGTGTGTGTATGTGTGTGTGTGAGTTCAGAGGGGGCCCTGTTCTGGGCCGGAGATGCCCCCCCGCCATGGAGAAGCCCCCCAAGCTGCCCCCGAGGCCCGGTGGGTACCGTCAGCACCACCCAACTCGCC